AACAACAACTACTAATAACAATAACTAAATAAACAACAACTAAATTCCATTCGTTTAGCATTGCGTCATATGTTGTTCCTACTAAATCGAAGTAGTTGTGTTTTTTTCATATTATACCCAATTGGTTATTATCATTAATATCTTATGAAATACTGCTGATTTGAGCTCAGAAATTACATAACTTATTTCTTTTTAGTAAGAACAAAATTATTTGTTTGAAAATATCGCCTCGCAGGATAAACTGTAGAAATCAGCCTCGTGCTCTCTAACTTGAAGTAGAGCAGGTTAAGAGCTCGAGACAGTTTGTTGCATACGTTTATATTGAAAAAAAAATCCATTTACGTTAGTTTCGTCGAAAACGTTTTTAATGAAAACAAACTTGCCTCTTATTAAATAAAATAATCCCAAGAAGCTGAAACGGTAACACATTGATTGACTTTAAAACTTCATTTGCTTCAAAAATATACAAATCGGAAGTAATAGCATCGTAATATCGGAAGTGATGTTCAGAGAGCTCAAAAATTGGCACCCATTTTCAAGACTCGTCGGACGTGAATGAAGAGAAACAAAAGTGATTTAAAAATTAAAACGGAAAGTTGCCAACAAAAAATGGAAAAATAAATATGAAAAACGAAACTAAAATAACCACGGTAGCCAAGAGAGAAGAAAATAAAGGGAAAAACAGAACAAGAAAAGCCACAGTGGTCGAGATGGGAAAATCAGGGTAAAATTAATTTTCACGCGCTATCACTTGAATCAGTTTTGTTGCTTCTCATTCACGTCTGACAAGTCTTGAAAATGGGCGTCAATTTTTGAGCGCTTGAAGCTCGCCGACTATTATTTCCGATTTGTATATTTTTGCATGTTTTTAATCAAGTAAACTTGTCCCTTGTTTGTTGCTTAATCAAGGATTTATGTATTCCGGGTTTAAAATTCAATGGGGGGGGGGGTCAAGTTACAGGGTTCAAATTACAGGGCAAAAAGCTATGTTACGTAATATTAAGAATTACGAAACCGCAAAAGGAATCTTCTGTTCAATATCAGGTTAAATAAAATTTCTCACAGAGTAACGAAAAGTTAGAGATTGTATTATGTTAGACATCATGGTATTTAAGTCAGATTATATAAGTAGTTATAGTTTGATTTAAAATTAAACGCTGACAAATAAAACGTTTTTCCCTTTATATATCTTCATAATATTAAAATATTTTTAAAAATATCCTACGTTTAACAGAAGCTACTTCAAAAAATGCTATTGAAAAATCAAAGAAATTTAATTAAAAATTAATTATTAAGTCGACTATAAGCAAATGTCTCTATTTCAAAGCAAAGATTTAGATTGATCATCCAGTTTTCTCAGATTTTTTTTAGAAACTTTTTCTTCACATTAATTTTTAAAAAAATTAAGATTTTTTATTTCCTTTTAATATGCCTGCATGATAAACTTCCTACTCTATCTTGATAAGAACTCTATCTTGTAAAATATTAATTCGACCGAAAACTCTACTACTTTTATATTTTATTTTATAACCCTTCGTTGAACAATTGACGACTACTAATGTTCAACTCCGTAGCGTTGTACTTTTGAAGGGAGTTCCTGGATCAATATTGGAAGAAAATTGCCTTCACGAATGTCTTTTTTGAAGGAACAACGCATTTGTGTTACATTGAGAGAAAAACCACGAACGGTTAGTTTGACGTCAAGATGACTCAAGCCCATGATCGTCTACCACTCAGGATATTTTACGTTATCACTATGATCGGTGCGAGCCGGGTGCGGAATCGATCGTGCGGTATCGATCATCCACCGCTGGGATTTCTACCCGGTTCACTTCATTGGGAGGCGAGTGCTCTATCCCCTGAGCCACCACGATCCTTTATAGATGTATTGTATGCTTAAATGCTTTAATACGAGCCGGGTACCCTGAACCAATCGAATTATAAATCCAAATTTAACTAGGTTGACGCAATCCTCCGGGTAACAAATTTTTACAGGGTATCCGGAACCGGTTCGGTAGAGGATTCGATTTTTACCGGCCACCTGGACGCGATAATATTTTAGTAGTCGGTACATTTTTAGAAAGTTACAATCTTTTTATGAATCATGAAAGTTTGTCATTTTATAACTTGGACACTTTGTACTTGAGTCCGTTAATTATATGATTTTCAAGTAAAAAAAAAAAAAATCTAAAAATTCATGGAATTACTTAATCATGTGTGCTCATATCAACCAAATTTTATTAATATCGAAGGGGTTGGACTAAAAGTGATCAGTTTAATTATTTAACAGGGTGAGTTGCCTTTTTAAAAAGTTCTTAAAGGTGCTCATTTTTTATTCAGGGCTTATAAAAAGTGCTCTATCTTTTAAAAAAAGATTTTTTCCTTGTTTTGTCGATTGTAGTTCTAAATTACAACAAGTGCATGATTTTCACAATTTTCACTGTTTTTGAATTTTATTGATTTTATGTTCATAAATTAAGAACTTTAAGCGATGGAATTTTTTTTTTATTTCAGCCCAGATCCTAATTATAATTTTTTTAAGAAAGAGATTAAAATATTTTTGAGTTCCGGAAAAGTACTTAAAGAGTGCTTATTTTTTGTTGATAAATCTGGCTAAGCAACCTTGTTTAAGTTTGAGATGTAAAATATCATTTAATCTGCAGTTTTTAATAAACCAAACATAAACCCTATTTAAACTGGAAAAAAATAATTTGTCTTTTTAAATTTGTTCATTGATTTTTTTTTTCATTTTGTGTTTTGTGCAGACAAGAATGATCTCATAGAAGACGCCTTCTTCATCATCTCCGTCTTCATCTTTGTCTTCCGCACAATTTATTGATGTATTATTTTTATTTTTCAAACTATCTAAAATGTCCGATTCAACTAATGTTTTTGTGGTTGCAACTTCAGAATCAATAAAAAGAAAATCTTTCCTCATTACATTATCATTAATTTCGTGGTTCTCTCTTAGCTGTACCCACATTTTTTTTAAAGTTCGTCTAAAGGAATATCCTCGTCCTCCGCACTTTCCAAATTCTCCACGCTTTAGCAAAACTGTTACGAATAGTACGATCCACAACATTATAGTTCCATGCCTTATAAATTTCTGTTATGCTTTCTCTTAAATTGATTTTTTTCATGGATTCCTGTATGAAATGCAAACAAAAAGAGATTTTACTGCTTTCTCTGAAAAGTAAATGGCTGCGAAAATCAATTCAAGGGCATTTCCCTCATAAAATGCGTTAACAAGTTTGAAATGTTCTGAAATATTTTGTAAAATAGGGAAAATGGATCTTAAAGAAAAGTTCGTTAAATAAAAAATTTACTTCGCTATTCGGAAGTTATTTTACGAAGAAATTTCAAAAAAGTTCCTGGTTTCTCGAGAAAAAAAATCGCTAAATAGAGAAATTTGCAAAATGAAAGTTCGTTAAATAGAAGTTCGACATTATATTATCAATTTATTGGTTGACGTAGCTTTGCGAAGTCGTCAATTTTTTTTATTATTAATGACTGTATTTGTTCCGGAATAAGAGTTTTTTTTCCCTATACTCTTATTTCAAGTTCTTTGCGCAATTTGAACCATGATGTTTATTTGGGTAATGTGCCCACTTATTAATTTTCTACTTTTATTTCTAGGATACGAAAACCACAAGGATCTAGGATACAAAGACCTAGGATACAGGATTCTAGAATACAAGGAACTCAAGTACGTTGAATGGAGGGCCACAATGGCACCCAGGCCACAAACCTTATGTCTGACTGGCAAGACTGGCTGCAAGCCGCAGAGGATTGAGTTGGAAATCGATAAGTACATTTTTACATCATTATTTTCGAAAATTATTGATTATTATTGCTTTCATCATTATCATCATGATGGCAAAGTAACAAAGCGTCAGAATGTTCATAGTGAATATAAAGACAATATATTGATAATAAGTTATATTAATAACTGACTGTCCAAGTCTACCCCACCGAATCGAAAAAAACCCTGATAAAAGTTCTATAGCTTCAACTTTTGCAAGTGAAGTAATCGTTATCATATCACGTTCGGGTCACCATTGAGGTGAAGGTAAATAAATGTGTGTTCGCTTATACATCGTAACCAATCGATTATAATCTATCTTTTAATAATTAATTTCAAACATAACAGGTTACAAAAAATGCTGAGAGTTTAGAACGGACGACTGTTCTTGCAAACATCTCGATCAGAACTGTACAGAACAACAGCTCATGAGAAAGTGAAAGTTATAGTAGTAGTTGCGAGGTAGAAGTCATCACATGCGCTCATAAAGTTACCTCATAACATGTACTGGAAGGATGAATCACTACACTAGCAATAAGATTTCATTTATGATTTGCTAGTGTAGATTTTTTTGTAAATTTCTCAATGCGGTCGTAGCACAAATGAAAAATTACCGTACACTGTGGGTAAGTATTCGTGGTTTTATTATTTCGTTATTGTTATATTGGCTAAAAAGACGTCACTTTGATTTTTCGGGGGGATAACTTTTCATATAAAGTGTCAATTGGAGCTCGTGAAATATGAAATTTTTGCGTAAGCTTTTAACTTTTCTTTTTTAAAAGAAATGATACGAAAAAAAAAAAACGTACGAAACTTAAACAGAAATCGTGTAAGTGGTTGCAGCTAACATTATCAACCGGTTTACCGTGTCTAGGTCAGCCACCTGGACCTTTATTTTACAGCAAATTATACAAAAAATGGCACATAAACCCACATAATAAACCCACATAAAACTTGAATTGTATATACATTTCAAAATTGCGTAAAAAACTAATTTGATTCCCTTAACACCAACTTTATATATTTTTGTGTTCTGATTTCAAAATCTAGTTCGAAAAGTTGGCATCTCTGTCAAAAGGGACCACTCTAAGAAATCAAACTTTTGAGCTAAATTTTGATTTAGAGGAATATTGAGGATGCGGGGAGGATATCTCAGAGATGGGATGAAACCTTTCAATTTTAGTAACCATTTTTAGGTCAAAAGTAAACTATCGATGTTTGGTGTTTAATGCAGTTGTTATAGTTTTGGTGATAGATTGAGCAATTTGGTGAATTTGGTTTAACCAAAAGTTTCTCTAAAATTACGCTAAATTGGATTGTTAACATTCCCGAAAATGATTATTATTCTACGTTTTATGTGTGTTTAACCTGAAAGTGAGAGGTGACGCATTTCCCATGAAGAGGTGTGTTATTTTTCATTTACAAATTAATTAAAATTTTTCCCTTTGGGAAGGTGCATTTTTCCTCTACGAAAAAGAACTTCCAGATTGAAAGCTCCCTTACTAATTCAATAAAAGTTCGGTTATTATTTGATTAATTTGGTTACTATTTGATTTTGTTAGCTCTTGGGTACGTAAGGCCATCATGAGTTTGGCTTTTGACTCCTTTGCTTAAAAAGTCTGCATTAAAATTAATACCAAGTGGTATTTTACTACAAATTCATAGAAAATGAAAATGGTGTTTACGAGTGATTAAAAGTCTTCCCGAGGAAGTTTTTCATATTCAATTTCAACTATCTCATAACTGCTTTGAGACGCTACAACAATAAAAATTACTGTACTGCTAAGCAGAGCCATGAAAAAGATTTATCTGAAGAGCCCGTGGTTAGATATTAATTTTTTGTCCGTAAAGCAAAATAAATGAATTTGTGCTGCACTAATTTGGCTGCAGATTATGATTCTGTTATTTGTTAATTAAGCTTCGAAAGAGATAGTGTTTTAAAACTCCCAATTAATTTTTCTTTTTTTAAATTTATTTTTTAAATGTTACATACTTAACTCACATATTAGATGTTTAATATTGAAATAGGATTATTTCACTGGGCAATTTCCTAACACTTAAAAAATATTTTAGTTTTTTTTTTTTTGGTATTGTTATTTAAAACTGAATAAGAAATTCGTAGTAGCATCTGTTATCAAAGAAAAACCTAGTTCAAACCACTTTATATGCTTAAGACATGTATAGTAGCTTATGATTAATAGAATATTTTAATAAGTGTTTTTGAGTGATTATATTTCAAACGAAGAAAAAACTTTTAAACTATTGTTTAACCTGTTTATGACCTGTTATGATTAGCTATGATAAAATATTTCGTCATACACGAACTACTACTCCGAATTACTTGAGGTAATTACTTGAATGATTATTTAACTATAAAAAAAGTTCCAAAGAGTTGAACAAAAGTTTATTCCCCGATTAACTAAACTGTCGATTCAAGGTAAGAATACTTGTATTATCCAAGCTGGATAACTTGCATAAATATCAGTTATGCAGGTTTATATACAACTGAGCTTATGTTGTTCATTTCCCAATTATTAGCTACAGTGATGAATTTTATTCCATTTTTAAGATATTGTGTGTTAATTTAAAAGTCATTGTAGCGAATAAATTTTGTCGAAAAATTTATCAACTAAAAACATTTTATTTCAACCCCCACCCCAGAGCAAGTATTATGGATACGTTTTCTAGAGAAATATTACTAATTTTGAAAAACCGTTTTCAATTATACATTAAAATAAATAAAATTAAAATAAAATAAAACTAAGAAAAATTTAAAATAAAATAAAATAAAATTAAACGATTTTTTCTTCACTTTAAAGAAGGGTTTCAAAGAGTAATCAAATATAAGGTGTAAGAAATAGTTGAATTCCCAAAAGTATGTGTAATAGTAAAAGAATAAGTTCCTAGTTAAAAACGATAATGCCTTTTCATTGTGAAGAACCTTTTTAAACAGAAGTTACTACTTTTTAGTTGGCTGACAATTTTTTGGAATAAAATGTTGTCTTTAAATAACTAATACCAAATATTTTTTTTGCGTTCTATAAAATGAAAATTCAAGGATTGTTTACAATAAACTAGAAATAATTAAAATTCTATTTATCATGAAAATGCTGTATTAATTATTTATGATGAACATTTATGCTTGAAAATCAGTTTTGTTTCTATCGTATACTCTACGAGAAAGTCAAATAGGATCAGAAATGATCAACCATTTCTATAAATTTGAATTTTAGTCTTTTTTTTTTTAATTCGAAGTGTTAAATTGTTTTTAACACAAAGTATATTTTTTAATATGGCATTTAATTCCTGAATATTTTTGCTGCGCATTATTTTTAGAAAGTAATGCTTTTAATTTTAAGCTGCAGTTTACTATTGTGAAGTCGTAAATTGTTGAAATATTTAATTGCTTGAATTTGGGAAAGCGTTTAACTGGACTTGAAAAACGTTTCTTAAAAAAATGGAACTTTTTTTCTAAATTTTGTATTTAGCTGTAAGCATAGACATCGGATATTTTTCAAAATTTAATTATGTAATAGGATAAGATTTAAATTAATCTAAGAATTCTAAAATAGCTTTCTTAAGAGCTATCAAGGTGCGTATCGTTTTTAAAGGTGCTTATTTTTGGTTTACGTTTCTTAAAAAACTCTTGAGGAAGCTTTTTCAATTTGGGGATTGTAAAAAGGGCTTTTTTTTCAAACTGATAATTTTTCTCTGCCGTGTCGTCAAAAGTTACGAAAGCAAAATCATGATTTTCACTATTTTCCTTTCTATATTTATCAGAAGCTAGTTTTTTTATCACAATTATTTAAAGTCATTGAAAATATTTTTACATTTGGTTGTTTTTATTTTATAAATGAACTTTAAACAAACTAAAAAAAACTTTTTTTTTATTGCTGTGCATATCCTAATTAGGATTTTTTTTCTTACGCAAGTGTTTGAAAATATTTTTAGATTGCTTGAAAATTACTTAAAGGGTGCTTATTTTTTGTTGGAAAGTTTGACTACGCACCCTGACCACGATGAAAACCTTACTAATAATAACTTTCGGAGCAAAAGACGGTAACCTTCTCTTACAACCCTCCCTTTTTTTGTGCCAGTCTGTTTTCAACAATCACAAGAAAGAATCATATTGAACAAATATCCCTTTTATGCTTTGGTGATATCCAAACGTTAAAATGATATTCTGTTTAAGAACGTTTTTTCCCCTTCTTTGGGAATTATTTAGGGAATTTAACCTTATTGTCCCGGGCATATGAAATTCATTCAGTAAAAAATTATTTCAAACAAGTAGGGCAATGTACGTTTAATACGTGAATGGTATAAATGTAAGTAAATCGTTTTCTTTTCAAAAATGTTATGATTCTTTTATCATTCATTTCGAAATGCAATCATAAGATCTTAAGAAATATTTCATTATAAAAACTTTATCAGAACTTCATAAATAGCTGAAATCAAATTAGTTATTTTCTGTTGCAAAATTTTATGTAATTTAATACGCTATGGACTAGAGACAATAGTAACCTTTCCCTCTTTTAATTTTGTTCAAGACTTAATTTTGAAAACCGTTTGATTTTGTTGCATTGACTACTTAATAAAGTCTATGATTAACTCAGTAACTGTTTCCAGATTTTGAGCTAAAACTATGCATTCAACATACCAACTTATTCACGTGTCAACACCCTATCTTTTGAAATCTTTAACACATTGAGTGCCACGCTAATTTTACATGGCTTGCCCGTCTGGCCAAAATGATTTTTGTGTGTTCTATATTACATTAATTTCTTCAAACCATTTTAGTAACGATAATAATATTAAAAAAATAAAATCATTAAAAATTTACTCGAATTATATGTTTCTAATAATTTTGGCCCCACGGGGGTCACCTGTGACCCCGCTACGAACAAACTCAGTGCCAGACACCGGTGACCCCATGTCATTCAACGTGTTAACACAGTTCAAGACTCGGGGACAAATATATAACGGTATATACTCCACTTTTTGGGATTTTTTTTAATAACTAATCCACACTTGGCTTCATGGAAAGGAAAAGTAAAAAACTTTCTATTAGCCCGATGATAATTTATAAC